TGGAGACGGGTTCTCTCTGTAGCCCCAGCTGTCCTGGAACTCACTATGTAGACTAGACTGGCCTTGAACTCCCAGAGATCCACCTGCCTCTGCCTCCCAAGTGCTGGGATTAAAGGCCACCACGCCCAGCTTGATTATGTATCTCTTAAAGTGGAAGACTCCTTTAAAAAAAAAAAAGAGCATATACTGTGCTGGGCATGGTGGCACATGCCTTTAATCCCAGCACTCAGGAGGCAGAGACCGGAGGATCTCTGTGAGTTCAATGCCAGCCTGGTCTACATAGTGAGTTCCAGGACAGCTGGGGCTACAGGGAGACCCTGTCTCAAAAATGACCAAAAAAAAAGAGATACATAATCAAATATTTACTGATGACTTAGGAAGTAGATGGGGCAAGTATAGCTGAGTAATAGATATGAAAAGTTAAAAGCCTAATGTTGTATCAGTAGGAATAGCATTTAGTAATAATAGGACTCATCAAATTATTTTTAATTTCTGTTGTCAATGGAAATGGAACCAGGGCTCTAACAGCATGTGCTGTACCTCAAGCCTCAGGATCCATGGATAATTGGATGGGCATATTACATCAGTTCTTTTAAGAAACTTCCTTTATTTTTTAAATTGTTTTTTATAGTATTTAAGGGGGAACCATGCCAAGGTGCCATGTGGAGGTTAGAGGACAACTTGGAGACAGTTCTCTTTCATCATGTGGTTTCCAGGGATCAAGCTCAGATCATCAAGCTTGGCAAGCACCTATACCCAATGAGCCATTTCATCTGCCCTACATTAAAATTTTCAATCCAGCCGGACATACTGGCTCCCAGCACTCGGGAGTCAGAGGCAGGTGGATCTCTGTGAGTTCAAGGCCAGCCTGGTCTACATACTGAGTTCCAGGACAGCTGGGGCTACAGGGAGACTCTGTCTCAAAAAGACCAATAAATAAATAAATAAATAAATAAATAAATAAATAAATAAAAATTTCAGTCCAACAATAATGTCATTTGAGAATTCAGAGCAGAGGGTTCTCACCTGTATTTTGCATACATCTAAGGCTTTCTGTAAGGTGTTCATGCTAAAAACTCAACTTGGATCTTTCCATGAGCCCTTAATATTTTCTCTTTTTAAAATATTATTTTTGTTTTATGAGTATGCATGTATTGCCTGCATGTAGGTAAGTGCACACGTGTTGTACAATGCCTGCGGAGGACAGAAGAGGCTGTTGGATCCCCTGAAATTCAAACCTGGGTCTTCTGCAAGAACAGTCAGTGTTCTTAACTGCTGAGCCATCTCTCCAGCCTGAGCCCTTAATATTTTCATGTAAAAAATATTCAAGTTAAGGCAGGTGTGGTGGCGCACACCTTTAATCCCAGCACTCGGGAGGAGAGGCAGGCAGATCTTTGTGAGTTCAAGGCCAGCCTGGTCTACATAGTGAGTTCCAGGACAGCTGGGGCTACAGGGAGACCCTGTCTCAAAAAGACCAAAAAAAAAAAAAAAATCAAATGATAAAGTAACCAGATAATACTTATGAATTATTTTCCTCAGAATACCACCAGAAAACAGGGATCCTGTCTGTTTTCATCTCCTGTAGTGGAAGAACTGTCTGGACAGAGATTCAACCTTGCCTCTGACACATAATAAGTGCAGTGGCATAAGCCAGGTCCCTCGGCTAAGAAATAGGGAGAACACAGAAGGCTCATGGGAGGAATAAATACTGTGTGTGCAGCTTTCGCCTGACATTTAGAAAACTTCTGCTCTATAACCACTGGCAACCATTAGTTTGGAATCATAAATCAGTGCAACAATCTACCAGCCCAATGTAATACAGCAATTAAGTATTAGAGAAGGAAAAATCCAACCCCTAAAGAACTCTACAAAATCAAAATATAATTCTCCAAGTTAACAGCATCCAAGAATGATAAAGGCTACATGCTGTAGATTCTTTGAGACTTTAACCTAAAAAATATTTTCAAAATCCAGTTTAGGGCTGGAGAGATGGCTCAGCAGTTAAAAATACTGGTTGTTCTTGCAGAAGACCCGGGATTCAAATCCCAAAACCCACATGGCAGCTAACAACTATCCATAACTCCAGTTTCAGGAGATCCGACAGCCTCTTCTGTCTTCCGTGGACATTGCACGGCATGGGTGTACTTACATGCATACACATAAAATAAAAAGAAATTTTTTAAAAACCAGTTTAATCTTGCCAAATAGAATTAAGCAACTTCTTTTCTCCCTTTAAAAGCCTCCAGTGGTAGCAGGGTGTGGTGATACACACCTTTAATTCCAGCACTTGGGAGGCAGAATTCTGTGAGTTCAAGGCCAGCCTGGTCTCCAAGTGAGTTCCAGGGCAGCCAGGGCTAGAGGGAGAACCCGTCTCAAAAAGACAAAAAAGAAAAACAAAAACAAAAACAAAAAAAAACATGAAACATGGGGCTGGTGAGATGGCTCAGAAGTTAAGAGCATTGGCTGTTCTTGTAGAAGACCTGGGTTCGAATCCCAGCACCCACATGGCAGCTAACAACTGTCTGTAACTCCAGTCCCAGGGGATCTGATAGCCTCTTCTGACCTCCTACCTGGTCTACATAGTGAGTTCCAGGCCAGCTGAGGCTACAGGGAGACCTTGACAAAAAAAAAAAAAAAAAAAAAAAAGAAAAAGAAAGAAACATTTTGCTAGAAAAATCATACATTAACACAAAGGCAGGAGTTGGGGTGATGGCTTAGTGGGCAAAGCACTTGCTATACAAGCAAGAGGACCTGAGTTCAGATCTCCCAAACCACATAAAGCCAGACGTGGTATTGCACACTCATAATCCCAGTGCTCCTATGGCAAGCTGGGAGGTAGAGACAGGAGAATTCCCAGGCACTTGTAGGATAGCTAGCCTGGTGCCCATACAGCAAACAAGAGACTCTGTTTCAAACAAGGAGGACCAATACCTGAGGTTGTCCTTTGGCTTCCACACATGCTGTGCACATGGTGAGCACACACAGGAATGCGAGTGTATGGACAGCATTATCCACAAAAGCAAAAAAAGACAGCACTGCTTGACTCACCTCACTTTCTAGAATTCTACTGCTTTTATATTCTTTCTTTCCCCTCATTAGTGTCTCCTATATCACCAGTCTCTTCACTGCTAACTGATGTAATGATCCATGCAGAAAGGCAGCTTTTAGATTACTATTATTTTAATTATGTGTTTATTTGGGGGGCTGTGCATGAGAGTGCAGTGTTGGGAGTTATAAGCTGCTGTGAGCCCTCCAACATGGGTGCTGGGAGTGCAGGTACTCTGGAAGAGCAATACATAACTGCTGAGCCATCTGTTCAGCCCAGAAAGGTAGTTTTTATTTAATTGCTAAATAGGTATTTCTCTTTTTAAATACTTGAATACTGCTTGGAGAACTTAACTTAGGAATTGTGCAAACTATCCCTATCAATGTCACTTCTTTCTGTAAGGTGACTGATAACTAGGCCTCTCAAGTTATGAATTCCCTGATGATTCTTGCCACTCAAAAAAAAACTTATTTTCAATTTCTTAAAGCAGATACTACTATTTTCAAAGAAGATGGGATCAGATGAAATCATCCTTTTTTGTTAGTCATGTGGCAAAATCAAGAATTAGAGGTTGGTTCTTATCTGTTCTTTCTTGTACAATTTTCATTATCAGAAAGTTTCAAGAACCTTTTTTTTTTTTTTTGGTCTTTTTGAGACAGGGTCTCCCTGTAGCCCCACAGCTGTCCTGGAACTCACTATGTAGACCAGGCTGGCCTTGAACTCACAGAGATCTGCCTGCCTCTTCCTCCCAAGTGCTGGGATTAAAGGCGAGTGCCACCATGCCTGGCAAGAATTAACTTTTAAGAAAGAGTTTAGCTATGTGAGTTGCACAGAAACTAGTGGATGTGTACTGAACCATTTACAACAAACTCTAAATTCAAGCCAGCGACCTAAGGGGGTCAAGTGATCCCACCACCAATTCCCCAAGTCAGCTAGTATACAGTGAGGGCTGAATTCTTGTCAATGGCAATGAATATTTCAAAGTCAAAAAAAATGCAATAAATGTGTAATGATCAAACAGTCTGGAAATTTTCCCCAGTTTGCACGAGAGAAATTTTTTAAGAGAAAACTACTTTAACATAGATCACTACAATGATTAACTTCAGCTGGTAAAATGTGGACTGTGAAAGGTACTCCCTCTGGGAAAATTGTCATAAATATGTTGTTCTAGAACGTATGTGGAACCTAGCAACCCCTTTGAAAGTTTCATTTTCTCTCTCCCTCTCTCTCTCTTTCTCTCTCGCCTCTGCTTTCCAGCTCAAGACCTAAATATCTTTAAGTGTCAAACTATCAGTCAAGACTACTTTCCACTGACCAAATCTTGTGACTGGTATCTCCACTATTTTGACAAAGTGAATCAGCCAACTGAAAAAAAAAAAAAAAAAAAAAAAAAAAAAAAAAAAAAAAAAACTGGAGAAGCAAAGAGTACTTGTTGGCCTTACTGAGAACTCACAAACATCTAGAAGTTACTAGAATAGTGGACATTACCAAGTTGGGCAAGCCAGAGAGCATAAACATTTGACTTCCTCCTCCTTTGCCCTATCAATAAAGGTGGATGCTCATGTCCTATTGGAAAAGGTACGTATGGGCTCCATAGGAATTTTTCTTCCACTAAGGGAAAGGGTAAAAATCGATAAGGACTGATGTGGTGAGCCATGGGAAACAGAAAAAGAAAAAGCGTCAGTAAAGAACAAAAAGAAGAAATCCATCCCAGATCAGGAACCTTGGGCAGACAGCGCTTCATTCTTCCACCTCCACTCAAGGAAACCGGAGAATTTAAACCCGGTGAAACGCCCCGGCCACCGTCACCTCCAGGAGGCGGGATTCGACCAGGGTCCCAGGGGTGACCCGGAGGCCAGGCGAGGGGTGACCAACTCCGGGAGCCCCCAGGACTGAACGGCGCTCGGGTCACCCCGGCCCGCTGCGGTGGGTGGGGCGCCGCGGCCCGGCTCACCTTTGAAGAAGCGCAGTGCCAGGCCGTAGAGCTCCTCCAGGCCGAAGCCCCAGCGCTGCTCCAGCCGCCGCGCCTCCTCGGCCGCGCCCCCCGCCGCCGCCTCCCCGGGCTCGGGCTGCGGCCCCGCGGAGCTCCGGCCCCGTCCGGCCCCCGGGGGCGAGGGTGGCGGCAGCGGCGGCGGCAGCAGCGGGGCTCCCTCGGCGCCCGGCCGCTCCTCGGGATCCGGGCTCAGCGTGAGGCCGTCGACCGACACCTCCAGTCGCTCGGCGTTCAGCACGGCCGCCATCTCCGGCTGCTGCGCCTCCTCGGCGGGGACAGGCAGCGGCCACGTATCGACTTCCTGCTGACCTCTCACCTCCGCTCCCCGACACCGGAACTTCCGCTGCCGAGGCGGCTGGGGGTCTGGGGAGCCGAGAGGCCTCGGTTCAGCCCTCGGCAGCGCCTGTCTCGGCCCCGCAGCCTGGGGCTCCGGCCCTTGTGGGTCTCCGTGGGCGGCTACGCGGCCATCCCGAGACACGCGCAGTGATCCGTGTCGGTGCACATCCGGGCGGCGGTGATGGGCTCGCGCCCAGCCCTCCCCGGACGTTTGCGAAGTCAGGCTGTGTGCACAGCTCTCTACACAGCTTAGTTTGGCTTCACAGCAATGCGAGGACATGCAAGACCAATGCCAATTTTTCTTTCTTTTTAATATTTTGGTTTTTTGTGCATGTGAGTGCATTGCCTTGTATGTAAGTGCACCCGTGTCATGCAGTGCCCATGGAGGTCAGAAGGGGGCGTCGGATCCCCTGGAACTGGAGTTACAGACTATTATTAGCTGCTGTATGGGTGCTGGGAACGGAACCTTGGTCCTCTGCAAGAGCAGCCAGAGCTTTTAACTGCTGAACCCCTGGACTTGAATTTTTTTTTCCTTTTTGTCTTTTTGAGACAGGGTCTCCCTGTAGCCCGAGCTGTCCTGGAACTCACTATGTAGACCAGGCTGGCCTTGAACTCACAGAGATATGCCTGCCTCTGCCTCCCAAGTGCTGGGATTAAAGGCATGCGCCACCACACCCGGGTAGATTTGAACTTTTAAAGGGTCCTCCTGACTCAGCCTCCCAAGTACTTTGATTACTGACACATGCCATGGTACCCAGCACAAATGACATTTTAAAGTCAACTCCTATGGGGGCAGGAGAGATGGTTCAACAGTTAAGAGCTCTGGCTTCTCTTACAGAGGACCAAAGTTCGGTTCCCAGCAACCACATAGCAGACTCTGTTTTAATATAGCCTTTATTCAATCAATCCTTTAGCCAGATTCCCCAAACCTCATAACTATTCTAACACCTATCACAGAGGCAGAGGGTGATGAAAGGAAGTCAGAAATAAAGAGATGGGTCTTAAAAGTCTTATTGCAAGGTTTTACCTAAACTTTAGGCCAAGGACATGTATTATTATGGCCCTCCAGCAGCTTTGGAAGGGACCTTCAAAAGTGAGGGGGTCTGAAACCTGAACTTAACTAACTTTGCATAAGTCCACTTGGAGCTGTAGAGTGCTCAAGACTATTTTTTCTACTTAGCTTAAATCTTTAGATTTAGCTTTAAATACTTTAAAAATAGACACATCATTTGGCAAAACTCCAAGAAGTCATAAAGATATATCCTGTTGTGTCTGAGTGTAATGTCTTTAGTAATCAATAACTACTGAATTGATAATGATGATAATGAAATGGGTAGGGGACTGGAGAGATGGCTCAGCATTTAAGAGCACCAGCTGCTCTTGCAGCGGACCCAGGTTCAGTTTCCAGAACCCACATTTTAGGTCTGGAGGATGTTTGGTTTTTTTCAGAAATATACAATATGTTAAATTACAAAACAATTAAAACCAGGCATGATGGTGAACATCTGTAATCCCAGCACCCAGGAGGAACAGGCAGGAGGATCAAAACAAGTTCAAGACCAACCAGGTCTACATAGGAAGTTGTAGGCTAGTCAGGGCTACATTGTCAAATCTTGTATCAGAAACGAAAAACAAAAAGTTTAAAAATATTAATGATTATTAATTTCCTTATCTTTCTAAATATATTCTACAAGTTTAATATTTATATTGTTTCTAAAAATGAGATTATTGCCAGGCATGGTGGCACACATCTTTAGTCCCACAACTCAGAGGCACCAGGAGCTCTGTCAGTTCTAGGCCAGCCTGGTCTACACAATGAGCTCCAGGACAGCTAGGGCTACAGGGAGACCCTGTCTCAAAAAGACCAAAAGTAAATAAATAAATAAATAAATTCTTTTCTACTTACAAACGAAATGCTTATGGGGACTGGAGAGATGGCTCTGGGATTAAGAGCACTGGCTCCTCTTGCAGAAGACCCGGGTTCAAATCCCAGCACCCACATAGTGGCTAACAACTGTCTGTAGCTACAGTTCCACAGGATCTGACACCCTTTTCTGTCCTCCGTGGATGTTGCACAGTATGGGTGCACTTACATACATGCAGGCATAACACTCATACAGATAAAACAAAAATAAATTTAAAAATTTTTTGAGAAACGCTTATTATGGGAAACTTGGAACCATCTATAATTCAATAAAGTAGAATTATATGTGCTCATTTCTTCTCTTTAAAAAAAATATATGTATTGGCCTGTTCCCAGAAGTCCATCTGGTTATTGAGGGTACTAAGGCTTCAAGATTACTTCATGGAACAGGAGCTCTGGCAGTGGCACAGGCCCTGAGAGCTCATGGGCCTCCTAACCACAGCAGCATGCTCCATGACTTCTGGAGGTGGTATTCCTACTGATGAGGAGGAGGCTACTGGGCTGGATAGGGAGATCATGATTGCTGCACAGAAGGGACTGGACCCATACAATATGCTACTCCCTAGGGCAGCTTCAGGCACCAAGGCAGACCTTAATTTAGTTCCATCCATCACCAACAAGCGAATAATGGACTACATCTGTGAAGAGGACAACTGTACTGTCATCTGGTTCTGGCTGCACAAAGTTGAAACTCAACGATGCCCAAACTGTGGAACCCATTTGTATTAGTCACTTTTCTGTTGCTGTGATAGAAACACTGACCCAAGCAATTTATAGAAGGAAGAGTTTACTTGAGCTTACAGTTCCAGGGGAATTACGGTCTGTCATGGCAGGGAGGCATGGTGACTGGAGGTGGCTGGAGCAGGAGCAGCAGAAGCTAAGCTCTCACATCATCATGCAGGTACAGGAAGCAAGAGAGCAACTGGAGATCTGGCAAGGCTTAAGAATTCTCTAAGCCCACCCGTAGTGACGTGCTTCCTCCAGGATAACCACACCTTCTAAGACCTCCCCAAACAGTGCCATCACCTGGGGACAAAATGTCCAAACACTTGGAGCCTATGGGGGACATTTTCATTCAAACCACCACACCATTACAAGTTGGTCCTGCACCAGCTGATCCACTGAGCCCCTGCATTAACTTCCCTCAGAATGTGCTGTAGAGTTCTTCTCTCTAATAAAGACTAGTTATTATGTTGACTCCTCCCATAGATAGCTAGTCTTCTTTCTCTTCTGCAGTTTTGTAGGCATGGATAATTTTATATTGAGAATAGCTATCTATTAATACTATCTTATCATCCACTTAAAATGTATAACCAGTACACAGTTGTTAGACTAGTAATGAAAATAGATTAGGGCTGGGGTGTAGGTTAGAGCTAGTGTGTTTAGCCTGTATGAGGCCCTAAGTACCCAGCACTTCTCCATCCCAATACAAATATCTGCAACCTGTAAAAAATAAATAACATAAAAAATTTTTTGGTCTTTTTGAGACAGGGTCTCCCTGCAGCCCCAGCTGGCCTGGAACTCATTATGTAGACCAGGCTGGCCTTGAACTTGCAGAGATCGGCCCACCTCTGACTCCTGAGTGCTGGGATTAAAGGCATGCACCACCATGCCCGACTATAAAATTTAAAGAAATTAATTTTTTTTTATTTTTGTGAGTGTTTTGCCTGCATATATATAAGTAGACCTATGTGCATGCAGTATCCATGGAGGGCAGAAGAGGACATTAGATCCCGTGGAACTTGAGTTACAGATGGTTGTTAGCCACCATGTGGGTGCTGGGAACTGAACCCAGGTCCTCTGCAAGAGCAGCCTGTGCTCTTAACCTCTGAGCCATCTCTCCATCCCCCCTTTTTAATTTTATTTTTAATTTACCTCCCACATTTTTGTATGTGTGCTTTTTTTGTTTTTGCAACAGTGATTCATAGTGTGGCTCAAGCTGGCCTTGAATTCCTGTTCTTGCCTCACCCTCTCATGTGCTGTGATTACAGGTGTGTGCCACTAGATGGAGCTACAATTTCTCATTAACAGCTCATCATGAGGGGAGTCCTAAGCATTCATTGTAAGGTGAGGGCACACTGTAATGTTCATGAAAATTACCTGAAGTTCTTGTTAAACTGCAGTCTACCTCAGCAAGTGTGGACGAAGACTGGAGAACCAACATTTACTTCCCTTTCCTCCCTCCCTCCCTTCCTCTCTTTCTTCTATTTTCCTTTTTGTAAAGTACTGAGGATGAAACCCAGGGCTTTACACATACTAGGCAAGCACTCCAACTTAGGGATGTTTCATTGAGTGAATGAAGATACACTTACATCATTTACATGTAGTATCAGCTCAGTTCAATACATATTTAAATACTGTCTTGTATAACAGGTACTGTGGAAAATACAAAGGTTAAGTAGTTGTGATGTCCAACCCCAAGATATAACGGTCCAGTAGGTAAGACCATGCTAAACACTGTAGTAGGGCCAGGCTGCTGAAAGTTACATACTGCCTCAGTGACCTTGAACAGGTTCCTTAACTTCTGTTTACTCCCTTGTAAGATGAATATAATTACAGCATCAGGTTGGAGAGATGGCTCAGCGGTTAAGAGCACTGGCTGTTCTTGCAGAGGACCTGAGTTCAATTCCCAGTACCCACATGGCAGGTAACAACCATCTGTTACTCCAGTTCCAGGGGAATCTGATGCCCTCTTCTGACCTCCTTGGGCATTGCATAACATGGGTGCACCTATCTACATGCAGGCAATATACTTATACACATAAAATAAAAAATAATAAAATAATAACAGTGTCTACCTTTTAGTTTGGTGAGAACAATGGGTTTATAAGGATAAATGTTAGGCATTTTTTCCTTTGCTGTAACCAATACCTGAGATAAATTAACTTACAAAGAGGAAAGGTTTGTTTGGCCTCATAATATTGGAGGTTTTAGCCTATGACCCATTGGTCCCATTGCTTTCAGTCTGTGGCTGCAGTACTTGGTAAACCCATTCACCTCATGACTAGTAGACAAAAAATAAAGAGTAAGGCTAAGGTCTTAAAATCTCTCCTTTAAGGGCCAGGTATGTTGTAATCTCAGCACTCAGGAGGAGG